TAGGGTATCGATCATGCTTTTTCTTTAGAGTGGAAATGTGAAAAGTTAAAATTTTTATGTATGTATGTATGTATGTACATATAACATATACATATAATAAAGTCAGACATACTCAACACTCGAAACGATATAGCCGGAGATTTATCATCATTGTATAAAATGGCACATAAACTATTCTATAGTGTTAAGCATCAAATTTGCGAAATTTCAAAGCTTCATGACAAGGTTGGTATGTGTTAAGAAGCCACTACAAATTTGATAACTTATGAGTAACTCTTCCTCGGCAGACCGTTAAACCAACATAGTAGATAGGAGAATTGAGAATGCTAAAGAGTACCCCAAAGTGAGTCGAAACGTACAAGGATTTTTAAATAAAGAAGACATCAAGACATCCAAGATGTAATCATTTTATATTACATTACAATAATCGCGCACCCCTTCCCGCGCTGACTCTCAGTAACCCAGAATCAGATGTCATTGTTATTATATACATACAATACATTTTTACTTTTTACGTTTCCGCGCTAGAAAAAAAGTTAGTGGTTAACTAACCTGGTCGATAAAATGTCCGCAATATGCTTCCGGAAGCTAGACATAATCATTACGATTATAACATCTATATAACAAATATTGCTAAGACTAGAGCAATCATATAAGTCTCACTTCCATAGTACTATAGATCTTATATCTTTTGTATTGATGAGTGAAAATTATCACAATTATTCAATTGTAGCTACACTGTTAGAAATGTAACCACGAGCTTCCTTTAGATGTAAATGAAGCGTGGTTATGAACGAAATTAAAAGTAATGAATGATTTGACTGAAAATTACAGTAGTTACTTAAATGTAATGAACGTGTACATTAAATTTATGAAATTTAATGTACTTTTAATAAAATTTTATGAAAAATGCGTTAAATTTTATGTACAATATATATGTACACAAATATACTTTTTAGTTATAAATACATTAAATGTAATGTCATGAAATTAAGTTCAAATTGTGTAACTTAAAATTTAATGAAATTTAAGAACATTTCTAAGTATCGTAACTTCTTCTCCATGAATATTTTTAAACTATGGTGTGTCAAAAGTGCTTTGTGAGTACAAGTTTTAAACTTTTGATACATCGCTCAAAGACCATCCATTATTGAGCTTTGTGTTAGCGATATCTTGTGTTCATTATATTATAAGTTACAGTCACTTGAAAATTAATTGATTTTATGGAGACTCAATTTTCCGTATAATTAGTGCGGAGTCCTTTGATGAAGAAGTAACATTATAAATTAAATCGTTTATACATATTAACAAAATTCTAATAAATATTCATGCTTTTATTCAAACTTTTATTTTGGATTTACGCGTTTAAAAGTCGCTTAAAAGCGCAGTAAAATACAGTGGAAAATGTACAGTACGCAAAAATTTGTTATCAAGATCATTATAGATATGCAATTAACGTAAGGTACTTTTCGCAGAATAGACTTCGCGAAATTTTGCATATTCTGCCACTTGTTGCGAAATGATAAGTGAAGTTATCGAAGGCCATCAACCAGTTATCGAAGGTAAACTGTTGTATGCTAGACGCAATACATTTTTAAATATTGAAGAAAGTAGAATATTATTTTTTTTTTATTAAATTTTATTCAAACAATACAAGTAAGATTAGTACAATAGTGTACTGACAACGAATCCATTGATTGGAGTCTAAGCTCAGATGTTTATCTTCTTTAATAAGTAGTACTATTCTTTGTGTTAAAATCATAATTAAATAAAAAAATGGCACATCTCAATGTCAAAAGTAAATATTGATTCAATGGAAAATTCTAAAATTTCTAAAAACTGAAATAAGAATTGAAGCCAATAATTGAGAAAGACGGAGTAGATAAAGATAAATTCTATTAGATAATTTTATGAAAAAATCAAAAAATTATTTCTTATAAAGTTGCAGTACAAATAGCGCAACAAAAAATTTAATATCATATTAAGAATAATATCATATTAGAAAATTTGGAGAATAAGTTGCGTTGCAAAGTAAATGTAAGATGGTAGTAAGATAGTTATAAGGTAAGGTAATAATAAGTTAATTATAGGTAAAGTTAATCGTAAGATATCACTTGTAATTGAAAAACGAAATTAGCCATTGTAAAAAGCTTTATATTAATAAAAATGGCGCATTTATTTTATCTAAGCGAGTCGCTTAGATAAGCAACCGCCTCTTCCTATTGGCTGCTTTCCTTATTGCGTTTTTCTTCTTTATTTCGACTGCCATGTCAGACTTTTTGAACCTGGCAGACTTTTGTATTATTTTTATTAATGTAGAGCTTTAATTGTAACTTCTCGGAGGATAATAAAGCATTATAATCTAATATTAAGGTTTTACACATAATAAAAAAATATTGAGACACAAATAAGTATTAAGTAATAGAAATAAAGAAAGTTTTGGTAATTCAGAAATTAAAAGTAATACAAATGCACATTGGAGTTTCTCTAAATTCTTTGGAGAGAAATTAGTTTAACAATGGAAAGCTGAATCCCTGAATTGTCCCTCATAAATTTTTATGTAACTTGGCGCGCGTGTTGAGTGTTCCCTCCTGATATAATATTACTCCATTTTGGCCGCACATAACAAAGTATTTTTGAGATATTAAAATTTTTTTTTAATTTGTTTTTATTTCTATATTCAAGTAAGTAAAAATACTTTATATCATTTTATTATTTATTACCACATGTATGTTACGCAAATCTCAATTCTCTGTACTTTTTAAATTTTCGAAAAAATGTAAGAAAAAAATATGATTAAATTAAGAACATGAAAAGAATGCAATTCAATATAGACTTATTTTTTATTTATTTTATATATATGTCACGAAAATTCTTTCTCTACACTTCTAAAATTTACATTCACAAATAAAGCCTAAGGTCTTGAAGCATTACAAACATGGCACAAGCTTACATTCACATTTATTTTCATATACATTCATAAAAAAATTAACGTTAATAACATTATTAAAAATTTTGCGTTCGAAAATTAATTTTGTTTCAAGATTCCATGCTTTACTTGTTTTTACAAACAATTTCATCTCACAATATATAAAGACAATATATAAAAAATAAATCTGTTGAATCGCATTCTTCTTGTTTTTAATTTAATCATATTTTCTTACATTTTCAAAATTTTAGAAGTGTAGAGAAAGAATTTTCGTGACATATATATGTGATAATAAGTAATGAAACAACATGAAACACTTTTACTTATTTAAATATAGAAATAATTCTCGAGAAATAAAAATATAAATTTAAAAAAATATTTAATATCTCGGAAATATATAATTTGCTATCTGCGGCCAAAATGGAATAATATTATATTTGAAAAGAACATTTAACACTGCTCGCTAAGTTTCATAGAACTCGATGAAGAACAGTTCATAATTTCCTCTTGTGAACAGTAAAATTGAGCCAATCTTAAAAAAAAAAGTTGTTCAATTTTCAATTTTTAAGAGTGAGATTCATGCAAAAAATTTTAGAAAAAATTTTAGAGAAAATTTTAGAGAATACTTACAAATAAAAATATAAAATATAAAATATACAAATATTTATATATTTAAGTGTTTTATATTTTATTTGTATGCATTACACATAACATTTAATCTCTATTCTTAAAATTCTTCTATTTCTATTTCTGTTATATTTATTCCAATATTTACTTTGATACGTTTAATTTCTTCATTCCTAATTTTGTTATTTCTAATATGTAATATTTATCCCTGTCCCTAACGCTGATTCTTTTAATAAGTAATCGATAATTCTAAGTCTTATCGGTGAAGTTGACCAATAACCAACCTTTGTACGACTAAGGCTGATTGGCCAACTTCACTGATTAAGACTAAAATTTCTGATTATCGATCATTGTAGAATCAACATATTTTTTCCGTGCGTAATATATTGTTTGATAGTTGATTTAAAATTCAAGGATCACAAAATACATCACTTAAAAAACGTATGTTTTTGGGTTTACTCTTTACCATCCAACGTAGCATTTTCTTATTTCTTTCTCCCATCGTTCGACTTTTCCATTTATATGAATCGTAAATAACCAAATGTAATTTTATCTGGATGAGAACGTGAAAGCGCGCGTATGTACAGATTCTCTCCAACGATATATTCAACTCGTACGCGCGCGCGAATTAAATTGCATGAAGGAAGCGGCGGATTACGCGGGCCCGCCAATCGCTGTGTGCCGTCGACGACGGCGATTGCGACTTCATCGAAGTAACGAATCTAAATTTAAATGTGAAGAATCACAATAGTCCCGCTTATCTAAATATTTTGCGTTTGCCCTTTTCTCTTGAGAATGACGGTTGTTAACGAGTGAAATTTAAAAATTCGCTTGCAACAAAAAATATGACCTTTGAAATGTTACTTTCAAATGTTATTGACTAAAAGATGTATTTATTTACATTTACGTGACATTTACAAATAAAAGAAATAAAAAGTATCATTAGTAGCACATATTTATTATAGCAATACGAAGTTGAAATAAATTATTTTTATGACAAAATTAAAATTCAATTAACCTTAATCCAATTAATCTTAATTTCCCAATAACCATGTCTTTTTAAACTCTTTTACATATAGAATAAAGGGATTAAAATCTAGAAAAGACAAACTAAATAAGTGCGTTCATTATTTTTCATTACACATTTCTCTTTACATCTCCTACCTTTAAACCAAGTATTATACAGAGAGAGGAGAAAAAGGTGTAAAGAGTGTAATTGAAAGACGCGCGTCAATGACAGAAAAGTGTACGGTGTGCAATTGAAAACAGTGCGAATGCTCTCTTCGAAGCGAGCTGGGAGAGTTTCGCGCACGGGCGGATGCGCCGGTAAGGTTAAGTTTCCTCCCACGGATCAGGATCGGATTCTACGCAAACGATGTTATCGGACATATAGGAATCTGGGCGCGAATTGTCCGAAAGAGACAATCCTCCAGTCGATACTAACTTGTTTTCCCCGAATGATGACTACGAGCGCGGCACCGGCCGCGGTGAGGGCCCACGTGAGCAGGGTTCCGAGGAGCGCCTGGGTGATCGCTGTGTGATTCTTGAGCATCGCGAGCCTCCGTCACATCAGGCGGGAGAGACAGATCCTACAATCGGTCGACCGTGTCCCGTGGCGGACTGCCGTGTGCCGACGGAATGAAACGGAGCGAGCGGGCGTAAACGAACGCGAGAGCCGAACGGCGCGGCGCGAGATCTCCGGTCTTGTGGCACTTCGTTCAGTCCCCCGCGCTGCTTATCTCAACCACCGCGCGCACCACCGACGCACGGGTCACTACTACGTCGCCACCACACGTTCCTATACTACCACCAACGTGCATCATGTACGCGTGTGGCGGCGACATCACTGCGTCTCTCTGCGTCCCTGTCGTATCCCTGTCAATCGCGACTTCCGAATATCGTGGGCTGCGTATTACGTACGTTGCGTACGCGTTACTTTACGCACGCGTTTTCTTTACGTCATATCTAACTAAAGCTCGTATCATACTGTAGATTAAGGTTACAATAGAATACATGACTAATCAGAGAAAGAAGAAATCAATACAAAGTTTAAATAAACTTTATTTTGAGATTGATCAATAGTTAAATTTCAATTAAATCTCAGGCTACGGTTCACTTGATGCTCCAAATGCTTCGAAGTGCTTTTTTATTGTTCCGTTAGTAGAATTCTTTCTTTTAATTGGTCAGTCGAACGCTTCGAAGCGCCAAAAGACCGCACTTGAGTGCAAATGCATCGTTGACTAATCAAAAGAAAGAATTTTACGAATTGACTAATCAAAAAAAGCTTCCAAGCATTTGCAGCGTGAAATCCTCAGCGTGAGATCACATCCTCAGTCTCTAGTCTGATATAAGCCGGATCGACAATAGATTTTTAAAGCCATAAGGGATGGACGAATCACAATTAATTATTCTCCTCGCATTCGACTGTAATTGGTCAATTTCTTACGGCTTAAGGCTTAAAACATTTATTGTAGATCCGGACTTACCGCATCATCAAGTTATATCGATTTTAAGTGTGCTCAAAACACCTACGTTGTATCTATGTTTGCGTGATTGATTATTGACTGAAATACAAACTGATGGACTTTCCAGCAAGAGATATAGATGATACACAGTGACCGATATTTATAGTCGGTTCTTATTTGAAGACTGTCTTAAGTTATGTCTTAAGTCGCTAATGCGGCCTTCTGATTGGTTCATGACAGCTTAAGAGCTGTACTTAAATATAAGACTGGTCTTAAATATAAGATCCGACTATGAATATCGGCCAGTGTATCATAGTGAATCATTATACACCGTCTACGATACATGGAATATGAAGTAAGATTTAAAAATTGATCAATCACAGTGAGAAGAATATGAGAAGAATAATCGACTGATTTGTCATTGGTGTAGTTTCTTACTCTTACTTCTTACTCCATGTATTGTAGACGACGCATTACACATCCTTGTTATTTGTTAATATTAAACAAAAAGAAACGCTCACTCTGTGTTACACTGTATCTCTAAATATTACATCAATTTCCTACTTAATGTAAATATAATAACATTATATCAATATTATAATATGTTGTACTATATAAATGTAAATATAATATACAATATAGTGTACACACGGAGACATAAATATCTAAGCCGTCTGAAGTTGCATGCGTATTGAAGAAGACATGAAAAGGACTGAGAAGGCGTGAAAAGACATGACTAGACATTTATGTCCCCGTGTATACATGAATATTTTTCGTAGTGACATAAGATAAGTATTGTTTTATTTTTGTTCATGGAATTCCACGGAAGATAATTTTTGTATTGTCTAAATGGGAAGCACTTCATCGTAACAAGGCTTAATCTACTGTGCAGCTTAATGTGCTCTGTTTGTATCTTCCTTTATCGTATCCTTTGTCTTGCTTTTTATCATTTCTTATCTCTTGGCTTTTGCTTCTTATTCCTTTCTTGATTTTCGATCATTCGAAATAAAAATTAACGAACTTAGGAAGAAATAAAAAAAAACGTGATAAGAATCACGATTAAATAATCATAGCAAAGAAGAAAAAGACAATAAAGGCAAGCTACAAGAAGAGCAAAGAGTACATTGTAGATTAGGCTTTACATTATTAAGTAAGAAATTATATATATTATGACATGTAACGATCGATTGAAAAATATATAATAACTTAATTAATAATTTAAAAATTTGAATTTACAAACTTAATTACTAAAATTCAAATTCAGTTTCAATCGACAGGTAAATTAAGAACGACTTCAATCAAACTCCGATTAATTTAATCAATGGTTAACTCAACCGGCAGAATTGTTTAAAATTTCTAACATACAGTTCGTTATTTTCAATTCGTTTCATCAAATAATTCTATTTATTAATTCAATAGTTTTATTTATATTACTTAAAATATTACTGATTAAATTAATTCTATCAAAGTTGAATTCGATTCGTATATCTTTCAATAATCGGCGGCAACAGTATACGAATAGCAAGACGCAACAACGCGCATGCACGAGAGAGTAGCGCGGCCAATGAGCGCGTCTGCGCCTCCTGCGTTCGGCCAGTCGGCCGCCGCATTCGATTGATCGTACGATTGGCGCGACTTTCGTCCGTGTCGGCGCCGTGTCTCAAGGTTTCGTCCGCGCCGGTTATTAACGATGTCAAGGCGTTTACCTTGATCAACAATGTTCGACGGTGAAACCGCAGAACGCGAGCGTTGTCGCGACGCGTTTTGAGGCGCAGTTTTTTTTCGCAACGGAACGAAACTTCACGAGACTACTGTTGTCGTTGCTGTCGATCGCGAGTCGATCACCATCTTTCAGTAGAGAGCCTACAATCAGAGTGACGCCATACGGGTATCACTTGTGATTGGTCCGCCATGTTTTAGCCATTCCCTCCAGTTTTTTAAACGCATTATTTTCTAAATTTTGAATTCATGCTCAAAAATTGTGACAAATTAAAAAATGAATAATGAATAAATATTGTATATATTAGGTGTTGGAATTAATTCGTAGCGTTTTTAATGAAAGAATGTTATTTATTTCACATGAGCATTAAAAAATACATTAAAATTGTGACAAATTAAAAAATGATAATAAATAAATATTGTATATAAAATAATAAAACTTTTACATATATTATTTATTATAAAATTTCATCTATTTTGTACTATTGCAATATTGTAGATTTTGTAATATTGCACATTACTTTATACAAAACGTTATTTATTATTTTACATTATTTGCGCTATTAAATGCGCTAGTTTATTATCCATTCTCTATTCCTACATTTTAGGAGCAAACTGCAGCTGCAATAATATACAATAAAAGAAATCAAAAATTCAGAAAAATATTATATATGTATATACCATTTCATAAAATATTATATACTAAATATCGTAATTATCATATTATTTGATTTAGACTCACAATGCAATGATATATAATGAAAGAGAAATAAATTGAAAGATTACGATAAAAAGAGAAAGAATTAAATTCGTAACCAATGTGATAACTA